CTTTGGAGTTCGAATGGTTCGACTAACAGCGGATCCATCAGGAGGTGGTGATGGTTCTAGTTTTGGTTCGTTACCTACTCTGGTCCACTTTTTCGTTCTACGGTTATACTAATGTTTGCTCATCATGTAGGAACCACAGGTGCAAACGGAGATTCTGGCTGCTGTGGTGATAATGTTGAGCAGCTTGTATCTTTCACCAACACTACTGCGTTTCCAACTGCAGGTCTTGTCGAGTACGTAATCCAAATTGATACGTGGCGATCAATTGACTAACAATGCTCAGAAACCAAGGACGCAGTACTTTGAATATTTGGCATACTCCAGCCATCATTACAGACGCCTCAAGCACTATCGAAATTGCCAAATTTGCGCCCAGCTCTGATGGCACCTTTGCTTCTGATACTGTGGCCGCTGTTATTAACACCAATGGCAAACGGCAGCAAATGGTCTGGTTTATAGAATTTGCTACTGACTGGTCGCTCACCTCCAACTTTATTATGCATGCTCACATCCAGTGGGTAACCCGTGGTCTATGTAAGTCATACGAAAAGAAAAACGTACTGTACCACAATGAGTTCTAACATCTTGACCACAGTCATCGGTCAACGACGCATTCTTTTCAACAGTCAAATCGATGATGTTCATCTCGAAACAGAGTTATACTATCCCTCGGATACACCCACGTGGTTCCGACTTCGAACCTCCGATTTGGATGCCCACGTGGCCTGGATGGCAGACCTTAACTCTCGTCTACCAGCTGGCTCTCTGTATCGCATTGAGCTAGGTCACAATGGCAATGGAAATGTCGAATACGCCACCCTCAACGACACTTCAGGAACCATTTGTACCCCGGAGACCTGGGTTCAGTACACTGGCACAAACTACGTCCCAACAGATCTCGAATTTCAGAAAACACTTGGAGCAGGCATCAGCATTTGGCCAACTACCCCTACATATCTTGAATGGAGTATGGAATGCTTGGCCCTCGATGAGCTTTTGAGCTGGTTCCTAGTCGCCGAAAACAGAGATGCATTCAGCCATCTGTCTCATACATTCACTCACGAGAACGAAGATAATGTGACGTACTCGGATGTCGTCAATGAGATTCAGTATAATCAAGCGTGGCTTAGCAAGGTTGGATTCACCAGTGCGGCTTATTACTCACCAAATGGTATCATCCCGCCTGCTATTACCGGTCTACACAACGGAGATGCTCTTCAAGCTTGGTCAGATAATGGTATCATTCACGCTGTTGGTGATTCTAGCCGACCAGTGCTTTATAATCCGGTAAGCAGCGATCTCTTCAATCATAGTATACTATGCTAACTAGCCGTTTTCAGATTAACGAGTACTGGCCTCTCATCACCAATGTTTCTGCCAATGGATTTGATGGAATGACTGTCGTTCCACGCTGGAGTAAGTATACCATGATTCCCTCCCAGAAGTCGGTCTAACCTTGCCTAGCATTCCCAATTTACTTTGACTGTGATAATGTCGCTTGCAACTTGGTAGAGTGGGATGATACTGCCGGTGGAGATGGTAGCTTAACCGATCTACAATCCTACCTCCAAGAGGGATGGACCAAGGAATTATTGGGCCTCAAACAAGATCCGTAAGCTGCTTTGAAACATCAACAGCAGGCTGTGGACTAACCATGATTTAGATACATGTTTCATCAGGCCAATCTTCGACACGGAGACACTCAGGAGGTGACTATCGGACCCGTCTCTGGGTATCTGTCACTGTTGCAGATCTTTGTCGAGACTGTGCTTCAAGAGTTGACCAGATTGTAAGTTTTCACCTTATCTCCATCCTCATATGATCTCTCTTCATTTACCACTCATACCCAAGCACAATTGCTAACTTACTACGATAGAACTACCTGGCCAGTCATCACCAAGAAGCACGATGACACTGCCGTCGCTTTCCTCAACAGAATGGCACAAGAGTAAGTTACTACCCATCTCACCTCCTTTCATCGTCCTTTTGTACTAACAATATTCCCAGTCAATGCCTACCTGCAATGACCTATTCCATCGCCAACAACACAATTACCAGCGTCAACGTTGTTGCAAAGCAAGGCTGGTGCAATGTTGCCATCCCAGTCACTTTCCCAGTGGCAGCAACAGCTGTCGGCGCAACAGCTACGGCCGAGCAGCTTGGATCTGATCCTCTGACTCTATGGACTGAAGTGGGGTCCAGTACTGTATCATTCTCATTGAGCGAGCCGATAGCATTGTAGGATCTGTAGCATTGAGCATTGCATGGAAGGAAGCGCTGGTATTGGACGGCATGAGCTCTTTTGTCCTTTGGCAAATGAAGGTCTTGCGAGTTATTTAAACTGTGGAACTCTATCACAGTCTGTAAGTAAACATAATGGATATTGTTACATACTAGTAGTTGTATAAATCATAGTAACTACGATCAATCTTGTATGAAATAACGATAGCCATAACTGATCTAGAGCAATCGGGTTATTTGTTGGACCAAAAAGTGTTTTGCCCTTCTACTCCATATCAAAAGTCAGTATTAGGGCGACGTCCACAGCAAAGCCATCTCCTACTTCTAATCTATCTCTACCGCACTCTCATATCCCTTCATATCGTCATACATGGGCAAAAGACGGAAGAGAAAAAACGAAAGATTGGGTCAAGTAATGTTTCATTGAAGAAACTGCATGTGTGGGCTCCCTTTACCAAAATAAAACTCAACAATGGAAGGGCATTGGCTAGTTCTTCAGGAAGACTAGCAGATAATGATTCTCCAATAAGCGAATGACTGTAAAGGTGCACAAAAGAGCGGGATAGGATCGTCAAGAAAAATGGTAGTTACCGATCTAATGTTTGTAATACCGTGAATATAATATAAGAACTTTGTCATCTGTAAGCCGATGTAGAAAGGGGAGTTCTCCTCAATAGCTTAAAAATAAAGTTATGCTTGTTCAGTTTCGTCCTCAACAGGTGGCAAGGCTGGTGTTTTATTCCAAACTGATCCCGAAATGCTTCCTTGAGCAATGGTGGATGCATTGCTCATTCTTGTGCTTCCGCCTGTCTTCTGTGTTATTTTCAGCGTCTTTGCAACCAGCGGGCGTAGAGTTCCCAGACAACCCCCGATGACGAATAAAGCCGGCTCAATGGCAGAAACAAGTGCCCCAACGGTGCCTGTCTGAGGAGCCTCCACATCGTAAATGTCGCTTAGTCGTACTAATCGAACGATCGTAGCGATCAAACCACCCACGCCGAGCAACAGAATGCCCGAAACGGTCAATTTGGTCCGAACATTCATTGATGGGGTGATGATCACATGCCGCAATGGTAATGCAACTACGATCAGGTCGAACGCCATGCTTGTTGTGACCTGCAAGTATTGTAGAATAGTGTCGGCCTTTTCAGAGTGGCATTTTTGAGGCTGGGTAAACAAAACAATGGCATAATGTTGAGGCACGCCACAAAAAAAGAGGAAGAAGAAAAAGTGTACGGTTCCAAGTACGGTCGTAACCAGGACTGCCGAGTAAAGAATGAGGCGCTCCCAAGTAGCAGTTAGGAGGCGGAGGAATTGGAACCCGAGGGACAGCTTGAGGAAAATGTATTCCAGGATGAAAAATAGAATCATGATATGCATCAACTAGTCGTATAAGCCAAAATCATTGAAAGAGACTGTAATGTACCTTCATATAATTTAAAGCCTCCGGGAAGCTAAGCCTCGAAGTGATGTGTGGAGCTAGTTCATGCATTATCAAAAGGAAGATACAGCCGGCTGTGAGTAGTAGCTATTAAAATATATGAGTATGGCGTGATAGGGAGAGGGAATCTAGGAGATAGATATCATACCACTGATAGTCCCATGAACCAATCATCCAGACCGAAAGATCGAACAACAAAGGCTCTGACGTATACTCTGAGAAAAAACAGTGGCCATATAAGGACCAGTGTGATGACTGCTGTTATAGAGATTGCCCACGCCAGTACATTGTCGGATGAGTATGTGATTCCAGGGGCCATGACGGAAGATAGTTCTATGTTGCTTTCACTATGGAGCCAATCAGTACATGATATTTACTTTCTAGAATGTCTTACAGACCTCGCTTTGTCTTATGCTATCTCGAGAACAAGTGGTTGTCCGTTACTAACAACAGTTATAGAGCAAGTTAGTTGAGGGAAGCTGCGAAAATTGGACAAAACCACGAATAAATACACGGTCAAGCGTTCGGCAATGCTAACGTAGGGTACCAGTGATTGAAAGTGAGTCCTTGAGGAAAACAAAGTTTCGTGTTAGCTCAGGGGTACTGCATTACCATATATCATCTTCGATTCTTCTCAGTGATGCCGTAGCTCTGCATGCTCTGTATGCTGAAGAAGTCTCTTGGAGATTGATCTGTCTGAAAAGTCAACATCAGTTACGTTGGAAGCTTAAATCAAAGACCAGTTACATATATTGGGTGGTCATATTTACTTGATGGTAACAAATTCGTCAATTGTCTGGTACCTAGTTGGCCTAGCTTGAATGGCTAAAATATCTATAACACCTAGAGCTCGTCCAAAAGACCTGGGCCAGTTGTTTTGGCAGCTCTATCCTTTTTACACTGTTTCAAAATCTTCATTCAATATTCAGCAGTGAGCCGGCTCAAAGTTGATAGACACGAACCACGAAGTCGAGGAGTCAAGAATCCTGCATTCATCGGAATTGCACTATGCAACCTAACACGGATTACGCTACTCTACGTGATAGGAAACCAAAGGTGGCATTGCAAAAAAGCTTTACATTATCAAAAGTAACAGCCAATGCTTGGAAGATTGGGACATGAATTTCTTTATTAGATGCCTAATAGTATGAGAAATGACTTAACTGTACTGCATGATTTGTGCTGATAGAACTGTATGAGATCAATCGTCAACAGGGGATGGAGAGATAGTAAACAAGAAAAGTAAGGAGAACTGCATTTACCTCAGTCGTTATGCGATATATACGAATTTTTGGGAATTTGTGCTCATTCAATATCCGCCTTGCTAGCTCAATCGGTAGAGCGTGAGAGTAAGCTAACTCGTTCCGTTCCAACACAACAAATCTAACCAGCTCATCAGCTCTTAATCTCAAGGTTGTGGGTTCGACCCCCACGTAGGGCTGTCAACTTTAGACTATGTCTAAACCACACATGCGGCTTCTTCAATGAAGCATTACTTGACCCATAGTTCTTTTTTTTGCCTTTTCTTTCTTTGCCAACTCCCAACTGCCAGGTCCATATGGTATGAATGATTGTCATGAGCGCATCATTTTGGTAAAGATGACAAAAAGGAAGAATAGATAGACAGTAATTCATTATTTTTGGTGTAGATATAGCTATTGTTTATGATTTGTGGGCAGAAGTCTTTGAGTAAGTACTCCCAAGATATATTAATTTAGGTACACGTTCAATTGTTGGTATCTGTTACCAGAACTTTGCTATTGTAGATTAGAGAAATGTTTTCATGATTGTATGATGGGTATGACTACTATGCTGCAGTTACTTGCACGGCGAATCTCATGCTACTCGAAGTTCAAAACCACCGCATATCACAGCCTTGAAATATTATATCACACAATATAAGGACACAAGATAATTAGGTTGAATTCTGAAAGTAAAGTCACTAGTCCTGTTTTCTGGCTTGTCCAACGATTTGCTACCGTTAGTGATAGTGTCTATAGTATAATAGTATCACTCTTTGACGTCAAGAGGCTGTTTGTCCCATTCGCATTCTTTGAACAGATAGATAATGAATGCCCTTAATAAACATAAAGCACACCACAAGAACTAGAAAGTGATGATATGTATCTTAGTATGCGGAAGCATAATACTTATTTTCCTAGTCTGTGACTGATTTGTTTTTGAGATATCAAATCAGGGGAGAGCACCAATATAAGCATACAGTTTGTGAAGTGGCAGTTCGAAGCATTTATTAATGGAGACCCCAAGGTAACTACCTACCCTAGAGTAACCTATCCTACCTCTGACACCGGTTTTTGAATTACATCCGCCATCATCGTGGCTCAATCCAACTCAGTGCAGTTCGAGTCATCTATGTACTCGACAATCCAACAAAGCTTTCCAGTCAAGGTCTACAATAGACCTCCGCAGCAACATGTTTCGTTCTTGAAATTGAGTACTATCAGTACACGTCCTCCTCAATGTCCTCATCCGTATGAAAGCCCTCATTAGTATCAATATCCTCATCTGTATCAATGTCCTCATCCGTATCAATGTCCTCATCCGTAGGCCCTCGCTCTGGATCCCGTGCTGCCATCGCACCGCGCAAGTCCTCGTGCGCACGCTTGTTGGCGGATTTCAGCAAGCTGTCAAAGTCATCTCTTGATAGCGTTACATCCGACGTGATCTCAAACTGGCCAGTTCGTGCAAAGTGAGCTTTGACTCGATCGACCACATCCCAGGGATATTCTAGCTCGAGAATTTCGCTCGGTTCTAAGTGGCTCTCAATCAACCACCGTTCTGCCAATTCTTGGGTGGGCAAGCCATTGAGGCTTATGTTGATATGTCGCAAATTTGGTTGATTGAGCCGAGACAACGTTTTGATCCACCTGAATCATGTTAGTATGATGGCCTCGAGAGAAGGTGTCAGAGGTTGGCATATTGCATATGACTATCCAATCCCCACTTACCATTCCGAGTCAAAGCTGTCTGCCAGTTCGAATTGTGGGCAAAAGTTCACAGTCAACGTATGGGTAAGCGGACCCACGATTGGCATCGATGGTGGATTTGCGGTAAGCAAGTCATTGATGAAGTCGTTGTGAAGTTGTATTTCCAGCAGCTTGGAAGATACTGTTACGGCCGGATGCATCATATGCGCTGTGGGTGGATATAAATCGTTACCAATTGTTCCTTCTATCCACAAACTGTCGATCAAATCGAAATTGTCTCTTTCAGTAACTCCTGCTTCATCAACTCTGAAAGTTTCGACGGTAGACTTGAGTAACCCTGCAGTAGCTACAACAGTATCCCAATCATATAGAACACCAGTTCCAAAGTGCACGTATTTCAGCTGCATAGGGATAGTAAGCAGAGGAAAGAGGAATGTGGGGTGAATCGAAGCGACACGAAGACCGTCTTTTGTCCAGTGAAGATGTTGTAGCTTCGGCATGGAACCGAAGACGGCATTAAGCAGTTCTGAATGACCGGGAGTATCCAATGCCATGTAGGTATGTACTTCCAAGTACTTAACGCGACCTAATCGGCTTTTGAGATCAGTGGATATGCGAGCGAGATCATCTTTGAGGTCATCTCGATTTCTTTCCGATATCTCCAAATGTACCGATTGGCAGAACTCCCAGGCATCATCAGGAATGCTTGGGCGATTCGAGGGGTATGAATTTATGTCGGCAATGAGACTCAGGGCGAGATGATCCAGGGCAATTGGTGGAGCGTACGTGAGGTTGACATGATAGAACAGCAACGGGCGAGCGATTTGCCAGATACGGTGACACACTTGGGTCAACAGTCGAACAGTTTCCAGTCTTGGTGGTTGAAATCCGCAGGGAAATTGTTCGCAGCAAGCGTATCTCACTACCTTGTCGAGTATCTCATTCGGTAATTTGAGCAGTGGAAAGGGAGTCCGGTCGGAATCGTCGTTTGAGCTTGTGGTAGCTAATTCGTTCGCTGGATACTCTCGCCAATGTAGTTGCTGTACGCCTTGAGCGTATTGACTGGAATTGAGACGAGGACCGGCTGTAAAGCCTGGGTATAGCGCGGTTCTAGAGACAGTCATATTAGCTCCACTATCTGCCATTCTCTTATGCTTGAGATTGCCTAAGCCCGTGAAGTTGATCTTGAAGCCAGCTGAAGGTAAGCCGAGTGTTGATATGGAGACTCTTAGTGAAAGTTGATGTGATGTGTGTGGGTGTAATCTGAAGTTGAGCTCTACCCCTTAGGCATATGGGTACATGGCTCCTGCCTTGGAATGTCGGGTCTGGTCAGAGCTGGGTCGTGCCTGCCTGAAGAATGAGCGTGAATGATAAATTGGGAAGGTAAGACCGGCAGCTTGCGCTTGCTAAGGTACATGTAGGTAGTCTCCTCTATGTTCTACAGTAGACTGATTTCTTGAGTATGTTGACAGCTTGAGGACATTGAAAGCACTTTTGGAACTCATTTCAATATTCACCCTCCGTTAGTATTTATATTCCATGCCACCATCATCTTGTCTTCTGCTTCCTTTCAATGATATAATCCTTCCCTCTCCAAACCTTATACAACCCATACAATCCCGGAAACACCCAAAACCCAACAACCTTCCCCTTAATCCCCTTCTTCTCCAGCTTCTTCGGCGGCTGCTTAATCTTATCAAACACACTCGGCAGACTCTTCGTCGCCCCAAACTTCTCCCGCAGCGCCTCATATGCCTCCCGATCATAAATGCTCCAAAACTCCTCCTCACTATAGAACATTTGCGCATACAACCACTTCACCCCATCACAGTCTCGTACTCTCTTCTCCAACTCTCGATTCGCACCCGTATAGTCCTTGCCTTTTGGTACCGCGCCCCATACGCCTACGTTTAGTAGCGTGTCTGTGTCGGCGGGGAAATGCTTGATCTTGAGACCAGTTTCTTGGAAACGGAGGGGGCAGAGCCAGAGGGGGTAAATTCCTAGGTCGGAATGTAGATCTGCAAGGAAGCCTGGTGCGCGGGGGATGGGGACGGCGACGTCTTCGACTATGTAGAGTTGTTGCTGGTTGCTGACGTGTAAAGCATGGAACATTTCGCGGGTGTGCAGATACTTGTCCATTATGTAGCGTAGGGGCGCGATGAAAGGGAGCGAGAAGTAGGTGAAGCCAAAACGGCCGACCCAGAAACCTCCACGGTCGTAGCGGAAGAGGTAGTCGGTTAGTGGCACGTAGTCGATCGCCGGTTGGCGAAGATTGTCGGAATCACTGGAAGATGGTGATGGAGGGGAAGCTTTGGGGGTCGATTTGCTAGGCTTGGGAGGGTTGCTTATCATCTTTTCGGCATGGACGTAGAACCAGGGATCATGGCGGCGGGTAAATCTAGTTATCTGTTGCTTGTTGGTATGCGACTTATCAACCATGCGGCCGGTAATCACAGCGCCTTTTGTCGGAGAGTACATGATGGTGTCGAGGAAGTCATTAGACGAGGTTGGACCACCTTCGCGGACTATTGTGCCAACCGCGTCGTCGAAGCTGGTGACGAGGTGATATCGTAGCTCCACATAATCCTCTGCTTTAACAAGTCTGATATCCAGCCGCGTAACGACTGCGATCGTGCCGAGTGTACCAGCCGCTGCCTTGAACAGTTCATCTTCCCGTCCAACTTCCCGGGGAGCACCATCCCCAAGGATGCACTCAATCCTCTCAACTGTAGCATCTACGAACCCATATTTGAAACTACTGCTTTCGCCTGCAGATCCAGCAAAAGCTCCGCCCACAGTAATGCCCGGAAATTCCGGAACAACCGGCGGGACTAGCCCCTGTGCCAACGTGGCTTTAAGTAAAGCATCGAATGGTACATTAGGCTCTGCGGAAACAATGAGCTTTTCCTTGTCGATGGAAAGAATGTTCTTCAACTCCACCAAGGATACACTAGAATCCGCATGGCGGGTGCTGTCGGAACGAGTAGAGTTGGTAGATCCATGGTATATACGAAACTGCTTCCCAGAGTCGTGGAATCCTTTGATCTGTTCAGATACGGCGAGAGTAAGACGAGAATGTTTGGCTATGGCATCTTGGTCGTTCATGGTCTTCACCGGATCTTGATCTAACGGCTAGTCAATGTGTAAGACAACTCCTGCGTGTCACGTTCCTAGCTCTTGATATGACAAAACAAAGATTAAATAAAAGCAGGCATTGCGATAAACATGCGAAAGTATGTACAAGAAAAAGTGCAGATACGAAGAACGGTTTGGTAGTGACGAAGAGATCTGAAAAGATGGAGGAGGTTGGGTGGATCAACGACTAGCGCTGAAACAGAACTGCCCTATGGTATGTCAATGAATTTAGTATAAAATTGTGCCTTCTACTAGAAGACAAACAGTTGGGAAAGGTAAAGCTTAAGTAGCATTTAAAAATTGTTCTGGCGCCACGGAGTATCAAGCATTCAGATCGGGCGGCGCAAATAGAACATTG